AATTACAAATAAACACGTATTATGAAAAGTGAAATACTTGCAATATAGTTTTTGATGATTTGAAACAAATTTTTGTGATTATTTTTATTATAATTTGACTTGAATTTTGTAGAAAAACTAAAAAAAAGAACTTTTTCTCAATACATTTTCTAATTAAGTTTAATTTAAGAATAGACACGTACAAAAAACGTAAAATAAAGTTTTTTAATGATTTGGAACAAATGTTGTAATTATTTTTATCATAATTTGACTTGAATTTTGTAGAAAAAAATGAACTTTTTCTGAATACATTTTCTATTTAAGTTTAATTTAAGAATAAACACGTACAAAAAAAAAGTGTTTTAATGATTTGGAACAAATTTTGTGATTATTTTTTATCACAATTTAAATTAATGAAATGACTTTCAATAACAATTTGTTAATACTTTTAACTATTAGAGAATTATACTTAATTATTATGTAATAATTCCAAATAATTTGTATAAACTTTATGATGATTATTTTAATCCAATTATGACCATATGTTATCTTATATAGAGTTATAAAAGAATCATGCAATAAACAGGCAGATTTACTTTATTTGTATGAGCAGAAAAAGTAAATTTAAAGACAAAAAAGATAAGAAATGCATTGTTTCGACAACAATTTACTTACAAGCCATATTTTTTTTGTATGTTTTCTTTCTTAAATCTCCGTTACAAAACTGATCGAACAAGAATGGAAACGGTTTGTATACGTTTCTGATGCACTTTTGGTCTCTGGTCTCGACGCGTTCTTGAAGTTTTTGCACCAAAGGCGGGAATATTTGTGCGTCCGCAACAGTCGAACAGGTTTGTTTTATATTCGGCCAAACGGGACGTGCACACACCATGCAAATAACGACGCAAAAAAAATGTATTGCAGATGCAACAAAAATCGAACTTTCCTCGCTTAACACCATTTTACGTCAACCAATGATTGGTGCTCTGGCATTAAACAATATTGATTGTGAAAAAATTAAAAATAAACAATTTAGATTTCTTAAACCAATTAAATTAGTTAATGAAATGCAGATATTTCAGATAGAAAAGTTGAAAATTAATTATTTAAGGGCCAAATTACAATTAAACACGTGAATATTCGTAAACATGTAATAATTCGTAATTGATTTTCCAAAAAAAAAAATATTTTGAAACCCTTGTTAATTATGGAAATTATATCATATTATTGATGTGAAAAATGGAAACTCAGCAATGTTAATTTGTTTCACTACACAAACGTAATTCACTTTGGTTTGTGTAGCAAAGTTTGTAGTTGTTTTTACGTCAATAGTTATAAGCATTTCATATCAATTATAATTGTTGGAAAAACTATGTTTTTTTTCTTCTTCAAATTGATGAAAAAATATTAGCAAAATTTGTTGAAAATTGCAATGAATTATTTATATTCCAAAAGTACGAATTGGAACTTCAGTATTTTTGTCTTTTTTTTTGATATTCGACCTGTTCTTTTGTTGTTGAAATTTTCATTTGATATTCGTCCGAAAAGTCAATATTCCAATAACTCTTATAAGAATGACATTCGTCGTTTTTAATATTCGTCCTCCTCTGTATCTTCAATTTGATAAAAATTACGAATTGATGAAACAAATTACAAATAATTATTGTAGTTTCATTTTTCAGAAAAAGTTTGATAATTAAAAAAAAATTCTATAACGCGAAATCAATTAAAAAAAGTTGTTTGCATTTAAATATTTATAGTTAATAAATTTATTGCTTATTTACATATACAAATATCGACAAATTTTTATGAATATTTAAAAAAAAAAATTGGCGAATATTCACGTTCAATTAACGTCATTAAAAGAAATTTTAAGAGAAATCCTGTATTATTATTATTATTTAGAAGAAATACGGAATTTCTTAATTAATTTAATATTATTATATTTTTATTCATTATATTCAAATTCTTTAGTAACACAGTGAAATAATATTTATGTGCGCGATGAGTTATAATTTAGAAGGTCTAACAAAAAAAATTGTTATTTTGGTTTCCGCAATTCCAAATGGGTTGTTTGACCGAAATTTGAAGGTTTTTCTTTTTACTTATAGACAAAAAAAAAGTACGTAATAATACACATAAATTGTGTGACAATTAGTTGTATGGTAATAAAAGCAACGCAACAAAAATAATGTAAGCTACATAAGCGTTATGATTAATTAAGTGAACAGATAAAATTAAGCAATTTTAAATAAAATTTTTTCGTCTGAAAGTGTGTACTTAAACAAGACTTAAAGTAATAATAATAAAGAAAAGTATAAATTTACAACAACACGATTTACAACAACAAATATAATGTTTTATTTTTAAATTAGTCAATCTTTTAAAGCATCTACATTGTCTTGGAAAGAACCCCAAGAGTACCAATTATTATAATAAACTTGTTTTAAACTAATTGAACTATTTAATTCCTACAACTTTGACGCCACAACGACAACACCAGAAGAAGATGTTCCACTGTGTCCAGAATTCCATCATTGGGGACACGACATTAGTGTTGTTTGAGATCACAAAATTTCCAAACTTTTGTTTTTTCCAGACATGTTATTTGTGATTTTTTTTTGTGCAAAATCTAATAACACTTGCATTTCTCCGAATAAAAAGCTATAGAATAAAAATAACCATAGCAAAATCATGATAAATCGAAACCAAGTTATACTTTTTTTTCCGGCATGGAACGGATTAACAGAATTTATATTGGTTTATATAGGAAAACGTGTTTCACTATACGAGTAAAAATCCGGAAATTTTGGAACGGATTAAACTCCTTTAACAAAGTTCCACTGTATAGGAATTTCTTGCTGTGTATTTTTATTATGTAATTCTTTATAAAAAAAATTTTAAACAAATGTGCTTAATTCTAAAAAGTCAGTTAATTAAAAATTATCGGTTGAGTTAATGATAGAATGAAGCAATATATTTAAAATGAAATAGATATGTCGTGTCCGGGATTAAGAAATCTTTGGACATTAAATGCAATATTCTTAATTAGTTTTATTATACACATTTATTGAGTTTTTTTTGAGTTTTATTGAGAAGTCAACTATACAATAGTTGATTAACTAAGAGTTACATTCTCCTCTTAAACTAGTGTTTATGAAGTAAGTCCTCTTCCTAAGACCTTGTTCTTCGTTGGAATCTCTTACTAAGACTTGCTCTCAATTGGGTCCCATGACTAAGACTAAATTATGTGTTTATTTCAAAAAGGGGCTGCGTGGGAGAAAAGGATTTGACCTTGTGGAAAATACAACCGATTCTTCATCTAAGTTTAACGATCCTGCCCAAATATTTAGGGGCTGAAGAAGGCGTTAAGTGGTGATACAATATACGATTTAATATGTAATCGTCCTTCGGAATATTCCACAAGTTATTCTAAATAATCACGAACAAGTATCCGTTTGTGTATTTGATGAATACGTTAAATATGATTTATAATAATTAAGAAAAAAGTGGTAGATCTAACAAATATACATATTAGTTATACAATAGATGATAATAAAATGGTCGGAAAAGGCACACATTAAAAGAGTGAATTAATGTTTAATATAAATAAAGAAAAGTAAATGTTCAACAACAACAGAATTAAACGGTTTTATTTTTAGATTATATTTTTTATATGAAACATTAGTATCTTTTTGCATCGTATTCTCTATTATGTAATTAATAAACTTGAATGCATACACAAGGACAAAATTGAAAACACAATTTAAAAAGAAACAAAAACAATCAAAATATAAACTGAATGTTTCTTTATATTTTTCCTGTGCAGCAAAGATTCATACATAAAGTGATGTATGCAAATTAACGTGTATTTCTGGTGCGACGACATTGACCTATATGTTTCGGTTAAACCGGTTAAGTCGACTTAACTCGAAGTTTAATTGCTTCCTGACGTCAGCCCACATTAATAAATTCGACGCAATTCCAGTTGCATAAGTTGATTGGATTTGTTTTATTTTTGTTATCAGAATTACCGTGATTGTAAATTACTTAGAGTCATTACATTAAATTAAATAATTATTTCTATTAAAAAAAAAACGTTTGTGAGAAAAATATTCAATAAACAAATTATAACTAGACACACAACAACTCATACACGTGAGTTGTGATGATTTCCAACCTTTCCTTTTTCCAAATTTAACAACAATTTTAGAGGCGAATTATAACGTTATTTTTAATGAAATCAGCTCAAATAGTACTGTTTGAAGCGCAAATACAAACCGCACTAAAAGAGACAAAAAAACGATTTTGTAATTTTGTTTGTTTTGAAATTTTCAAACCATACTTGAATGTAACCGCATTATGCGAGTATTATGTATTAGAGACAAAGTCTTAATTTGTGTCCAAAATATTTATATTAAAAAATTTAAATTTTGTACATTATATTTTAAGAAATCCAATTATTATTCTAAAAGTTTTATTTTTAATATTTAATGCCTTTTCTGTACAATGCTTAACACGAACGTTTACATTATTCCCTTGCAGCAGTTTTCCAACCTCGATATTATTAAAAGGCTGAACACTCAAACTGTGATCTATCATGTGAATTCGGCTTATTCATCCATTCGCCAAGAGACTAATAATTCCGTGTTTCTTGTACATCTTCCATACAATCACGGATTTTTATTTATGTGAAAAGTTTCTTTCATAGATCGCCTTTTATTCCATGTACGAATCGACAAAGTTAAGTCATGAATTAAAAAAGAAAACTAGTTTTATGCGTTTTCCTTATAAATATATGTATATAAACATTTTCCAAAATACAGAAAAGAAATAACAAATTTTACTAAAGTTTTCAAACTTGTTTATTAAAACGATTCATCCATAGCAAACTGAAGCTTTTTTTAAATGTATATTTTTGCTATATTTATTACAAAATCTTTCAGTTAATTAAATAATTTAAAAAAATATGTTTTTTTATTTGGAAATTGTTAAAAATACTTATTTTATCTACACCCAAAGTAAAAAAAAATAAATAATTATTGAATGACAACGATTCAATCAACTTCCAACTTTCTGAAGTTTCCATGGAAACCCAAGATATCGTGGTTTTGAAGAGAAGTAGGCCTTAGCTTCTCATTCACTCGGACGCTGTGCATATTAGCGATGTGCTCTTTATTCTGCTCCAAATAATTTTCCCATTCGCCTACACAAGAAATTTCAATCATTAGCTTTATTTATTGCTTTCATCTAATTTAAATTACCTTTCAAATCGCTTATAGATTTTCCGGTTCCTCCAAATTCCTTCGGTAAAATCTCAGCGGGGAAATATTTCAACAAACTTTCATAATTTTTGTGGAAAACAATCTGAATTAAAAAAGAAAATATATAATTTTTTTTTATTTAATTTGTATTTTAAATAAATATTTACCCTTTCGCGAATTTTCGGTTTCAAGCATGCTTTTAAAACGTTGAAAATTGCTTCAGCAAACGATGGTAACATGACTGCATGAAGTCCGGCTACACGATTCGAATAAACTTTCTGTAAAACAATAGTAATTTAAAAAAAAAATTGTTATATTTTTCAGTAAATTAAATTACTTCAAGAACTGTGGACAATTTCTTCAAATCCATTGGATTCATTTTGGCTACGGTTGAAACGGTGATATTGGAGTAATCAATGATGTATTCTTCGCTTTCGCAGACATCAGCCAATGTTCTCAATTCGAAGGTGTTGATCAGATCGGTGATGACGCTGGCAAGATTGAAATGTTTGTCGTCCAGAAAAGTGAATACATAAACTCTGTTTTTGTTTTCTGTCAGTTGTGGTAGAGTGACCAAAGTGCTGTTAAAATAAAGATAATTAATGTATTTTCTTGTTTAATTATTTTTTTTTTGAGAAACTTACCAAGCTTTTGTATTGAGGTTAACTTTGGAGTTGTAGTATTCTGGAATCATGTTTTTTATACTGTAGTTTAGTTCCAATTTCTCTTTGGTCCTTTCGATGGAGAATTTGTTCATGATCAGAAAAGATACAATTTGACGGTCACCTGAAAATTAAAATGCAGAGATTTTTTTTATTAAATTCTATATACAAAGATTGATGTAATTTTTAATATGTCAAAGATACATCTGAAATACAAGAATTTTTATTAAATTCAAAGATTCATTTCAAATTTAAAAGTCAAAGAATCATCTCAAATTTAAAGATTCGTTTCAAATACAAAGATTCATTTCAAATTTTAAAGTCAAAGGTTCATCTTGAACTTAAAGATTCATGACGCATTCAAAGATTTATTTGAAATTCAAAAGATTCATGTCAAATTCAAAGATTCATCTGAAACTCGAAGATTCATCTCAAACTCATAAATTCATCTTAAACTCAAAGATTCATCTAAAATTCGAAAATTCATCTGAAACTCGAAATTTCATCTCAAACTCGGAGATTCATCTCAAACTCAAAAATTCATCTCGAATTCAAAGATTCATATCGATTTCATAGATTTATTTCAAATTAATAGATTCATCTCAAATTAAAAGATTCCATTCAAATATAAAGATTCATTTGAAAAAATTCACCTCAAACTGGGAGATTCATCTCGAATTCAAAGATTCATATCGATTTCATAGATTTATTTCAAATTCATAGATTTATCTCAAATTAAAAGATTCCATTCAAATACAAAGATTCATCTGAAATTGAAAGATTCATTTCAAATTCAAAGATTCATCTGAAACTCACAGATTCATCTCAAATTCAATGATTCATCTCAAACTCTAAGATTCATCTCAAACTCATAGATTCATCTCAAACTCAAAGATTCATCTCAAACTCAAAAATTCATCTCAAACTCGGAGATTCATCTCAAACTCGTAGATTCATCTCGAATTCAAAGATTCATATCGATTTCATAGATTTATTTCAAATTCATCTCAATCTTATAGATTCATCTCAAACTCAAAAATTCATCTCAAACTCGAAGATTCATTTCGAATTCAAAGATTCATTTAAAATTTCTATTATTAGTACTTACTTGGTTGAACTGGAATATGGGTTTGCGTTTTGAACCATTCCTTTATAGTGTTAACATCTTCATCCAAAGAATTCGCTTTTCTATTATAGGCAGCCAATACTTTTGAAACATCGTCATCGGTATATTGCAAAAGCGGAGTCACAGATTTCAGATCGATTGCTGAAAAATTATATAAAGAAATACACATTTAAATTATGATATTTTACAAAATTTCAATTATTTTATTCAAAAAAAGTTAATACCAAACTTTACAGCAACTATTGTTTCAATATTAACAAACTTATGCAAGATTTTTATCAGTAAAAATTAAAAAAATTCTTTTCAAAAACTTCAGCACTTTCACAGATTTATCGTAACAAATAGAAGAACAAAAATCGAGGTTGATAAAATGAAATTCCAGATTTTCTTTAATTAAAATTTCAGCATCATTTCAATAAAATTTCGTCGCAAATCTATTATATATTCGAAATTCCTAATATAATTAAATCAATAAAAGATTTGTCAGGTTACTCACCGCCCATTTTTTTTATGTAGTTTTTTTTTTATTCTCGTTTGAAACTGTGCTTAAGTATCTTTATAGAACGGACGCTTGTGTAGAAGTGATGAATTTTGAATGTCGATGTCTTTTATATGCGAATCAAAGCAATCAACGTCCAAAGCGATGCTAATTTGCGTTTAATGAAATTTATATGTTAATGTCTTATTCGAATACATCAATTACAATATTTTCTTTACAAACCGCAATAATTTCAAATAATAATTTATTAGTGTTTATTCCACAATAAATTACAAAAAAAAGAATACATACAATAAAAATAATAACAAAAATAAAATTGAACTGATGCAAATGGCTATTGACCATAGGTCTTTCTGTCCTAACAATAATGTTTTTTTTTGTTAAACCTCAAGATTACCAATAAAGTTTGTTTTTTTTTTATATCCTGTAATTTTTTATTTACAATCTGTTCATCAATGCTGAACCTCATTCATTTCGCTGTCCATCTGTGATGAACGATGGCCCTTTGTGAGCCCTACAAAGGGCCCGACTTGACCAGGATTTGAACCTTTGACCACTAGCGAACATAACCATTCGGCTATTAGTCGCCCGTTAAAAATTATATAAAAAAACGTAATTTAAATTTTCTTTCTAACTCTTTACGCAGACAAAAAAAAACTTGACTTATTTATATAAAAAAAAACTCATTTTAATCCACATTAATTAAATCTAATTAAATATTTCATATAAAAAAAAAAACCAAAAATTTACCGTTTTGCAGACGTTTCTAATTATGTTAATTTAAGGCATAAAATAAAATAATTTAGGAATAATTTTTTTTATACAAATTTTTTTCTATTCATTCGACGAGGTCGATTTAATTTATTTTATTTAAAAAAAAAATCGATTAATTTGAGGAAATAATTAATGAAAAAAATAAATTAATGAAGTTTCAGAATTTACACAAATTACAAAAACATATATATCAATATTACTTTTGGTGTAATTACGAGGAAGTTAGTAAGAGGTAAATAACATCGAAGGTGAATGCATTTATTAAACTAGATAAATACTATAGAGTTTCCCAGAATTACATATAAAGAAGACAATTTATGTAATATTTTTTGTTGTTAATTAATTAGTTGCATTGAATAAAGATTAAAATTATACAAAAAACATTTACTATATGTTATTTATTACTTAATTTTCTACGAAATTGCAATAATTAATAAAATGTGTAAACGTGTTTAATGGGCATTTAATGTTTTTACGTACATTACATAAATATATATATGTAAAGACTTAAAACACATTATTGCAAACAATGTAACAAAAGTAAATTGCGTGTAGAATTTATTATGTTGTCAGTTCATCGATTTATTTACATTGGTTTTAGATGCAAATTCGTTTAATAAAAAAATTCTATAATATCTACAAAAATGGATATCAAAAGAAAACTCAAACTTTTTTAAAGCAAAATACTGACAAAATTATGAAAATAATTCAGGTGATAATTTTCTAAAAAAAAAGTTTTTTCAAGAATGAATGAATTAATTTATTTAGTAATTTAATTATTAAATGAATTAGTAAATCCATATACTAAATAACAAATAAGTTTTGAAGACTCTTAAAAGTATCTTTACAAATTGCGTAATATAATTAGTAGAAATCGATGATTAAAAGGAAGCAGGCTTTGAAAAGAAGTCCACTTGATTTAGTGGAGGACCCTTAATCAAAATTGGACGTTCCGCATTGTGTTTAGCATTCTTTTCTCTTCTTTAATGTGTTTTTTTTTCTCTCTTACTTCCCTTCGTCTTTCCGATTTCTCATCCGACCTCCTCGATCCTATTGGAATCCAATCTCTAATAGGAATCTGGCCTTTAACGCGAATAATGATCGTAAAAAAATATAATTACACCCTCATCCCGCTTTTGCAAAGCCCCCTTTTCTTTCTATATTTCTCTTTCTTTCTCTCTTTGGAAAACGACATAATCTTAGGATGTGCAAATAAAACCGTTCGGAATCAATGAGGTGAACGCCGCAGACTTAATGAGACTTTATCTTATACGTTGTAATGAGGCCGTAAGTTCGTTCAGGTACGTAAATTCCACTTCCAGTCCTTCCACCTTACACACACACACACACAACTTCGCCCATCCGCGAAAGCAACTTAACGCGGCCCTAAAAAAATTAGGATTTATCTTTTTAACCTTTCTCTTCTCTCGCTCAGTTCGCCTCGCCGTTATTCCTTTAACACCATCCATTCTCCTTACAGTTTATAATACATATATAAGGGGCTACATTAATTTGCGACCAGTGAAAGATCAGATTAGAATGGATGCTAGTTACCATCAATAATTCACGCGAAAGAGTATTTGTTCACTCACCGTTTTTTTCACGCTACAAATATTATATAAATTGATCGCACAATGGAGTCGTTCGTCGCCTCATTATGTCGCTTACATTTACATTCGTCGAGGTCTCACTTCCAAACTGACACACATTTTACATTTTTTTTTTTTAAATTTAATTTAAATTAAAAAAAAAATTGTTTTTATGAATAGTTTTTTTATTTTGTAGTCCATAAATTGATGCTGCTTTTACGAAATCTCTGATAGCTTTAACCTTCTTACATCAATTCGCATATTAATACTAGAATAAGTGACGCATTTTAAATAATCAGAGAGAAATTCTCAATTTAGAAAGTTGAGCGCGGAAACAATTTTGATGTATAATACGTTTGGTTTTCAGAAACTATAAATGAATGGGCATTAATTTAGCAAAGTCTCGAGAGCAAATATATTCGACTGAGCTCTGTACAAATATAGGGAGACGCACGTGGTGAAATGCTTTCATTTTTTCATCAAAAACTTAAGCTGCTCCATTTGCCTGCAAACACGTATATCTACATCGGATAAAATGATGGAGAATAATAGTTGTAACAACAATATTTTTTTTGTCTTTAAGGATATAAAATGAATTAAAGCTAACAGATTTTGATGTAGTCTTAATAAATTGATAAAAAATTAAAGTGTAATTAAATAATTTATGAAAGGTTATACCAATTATTATTGGTTATCATAAATATGGATGATAATGAAACTTAATTGCTAGTTAAAATATCTTAATTTACAACTAATAACTATATAATACTTGGTACATCTGACAGCTTAAGGTTTATACTAAAGTTGAGAATGTAAGTCTTTACATAAGATACAAGAGTTGTTCTGAAGAGAGTTAAATATCAGTTATCGTCCTAATTAATTCTTCTCTTATGTAATTGTTGCGCACTCGATCTTCATAAGAATCAGTTTCCCAATTAACGACGTGAGAGCTTCGATTCCCAATAAGTGTGTACTCGAGTTCACTCCCATCGTCATTATATCAGCATCGGCTTGTGCTCAGAAGATGGCACTTCATTAGAGGTGGGGAATTGCAAGTGTAATCCGATTACACCTCGAAAAGAAAAAAAAACCGTTTTTCACCTTCTTCCTTTTCTACTTATTTTTTTGTACATCCCGTGTAGACTACACATTAATCCCGGATTAGGCACGCACGAGCGGAAAACACAATTAATTAAGTTAATAGCCTTACGTTTCTCTACTTTTACTTCTTCTTCATCATCTTGTTTCATCCCTTAAATACGAGTGGATAATTATGAAGTTCAGTCGTCTAGGTGAAAGGAGAGAACACGAGTTTGCATAAATGTTGAAGAAAAGCACTGGTTTCTTTAATATTTAGGTGTTTTCTCAACCAAAAAAGTAAAATTTTATACTTCTATAAACTTATATCCGTTCTTATTTTTGAATGGGTAATTATTTTAAGGCTGAATGAAATTGCTGCGACGAAGGGTTTGGAATTGAATGCGAAGAGAGATTCGTGCGTGTATTTTGTATTATGTTGTGATGCTTCGGAAATAATTAGGGAATTGTCGTTTTTTTTCTTTCTCTACAGACTTCTTCCGGTACTCGGGGGACTAATTTATCGTGGCTGACAAGCGGCCGGAAGTTCGGCCGGAAGCGCTGGTGGGAGGGATGGAAAATGAAATGAGCGCTTGGCGTTTTGCGGAAAAGAAGGAATCATGAACGTTGGTCTCGATGTGTTTTTGTTTTGGATGTCGTCGGGACACGTACAACTTCCAACCACCAGTTTTCACCACACTACCATCACCACCCTTTTCGACCCGTCAACGGCAGCATTAACGCTGCGCCCTTTGAATGCAGCCCTCTTTTTAAGCGCATCAATGAATGATCAAAAGGAAATTGTACACAATAGGATTTCGCATCTTTTGAAAGACTGGTCCTGCTATTAAGTATATTCTTTATATACAATAACTGCAAGTTTAACAATCAATTCAAATAACTTCATTTGTATTAAGAAAGTATTATTAATCTTCGTTAATGTATGATTCTTGTATTATATGAATTGAAGTGTTGTAGGATAGTAAATAGAGATTGGTATCAGTTGAGATGCTGCTGATGATTACAGACTTATCTTAAATTCACATCAGCTATAGCACTTGAAGGCATCGGCTTAAATGGAGGAAATCGTGATTTTCGTAAAGATAAACAAGTTATCGGAGTGCGCGGAGGTCTAATCCCTCTTCTGATGCAAATCGTATGCTAATTGATGAAAAGACAAGGCACCGGTTACGTCTTCAGAGTGAGAGCGACAGAGTAGCAGGATCAACCACGAAACCACATCGGGCATTGATACGCACCGATGGGTGAGATGGTTTTCATTCCTGCAAATTCACTCCTGATTCACGCCGTACGATTGTCGCCTATCTGCTGCAAAATCCTTTACACCAGAGGTTCCCAAACTTTTTTGTGTCGTAGACCCTTTGCCATGTTTTTCGATTTTTGGGATACTTACCTGATATTGATTGTTTTGTAAATTTCTAACTGTAGTGAAGTTTAGTGTTAAAAACTTAAAGTAAAAACACATGTTAAGTAATTGAATTTAAATTAAAACTACTCAAAATAGAATTTTGTATCTGTTATATAAAATATACGTAACATAAAATAAACTAAACAATAAATAAATGTTTTATTGAGAAGGATGAAAATCTCCTGGGCTAATGATGTTCAGTCTGTTACTTTTTTTCATTAGGTGATTGGTAACAGCGCTGAACCCCCTTTCCACTAGGTATGACGATGGAAAGGAAATGAAAAAAATTCCTCGCTATATTCCATAATACGGGATAAGTAACAGAACGGATATGTTCTTTTGCAGCCAGAATTGCTGATATCCGTGTTTAAACTAAACCTTAAGTTCTTCGTTTGTACTTAGTTCAGTCAGTTCCTCTTATATTATGACATTCGTTTCTTCTATGTCACCATATGGGTTAATTATCCACGTTGGTATTACCATAGTCAAAACGTCCTCAAACCTAGTTTCAAAATCTGAATACAGGGCATTTAAATGTTGAACGTAGGTTGTTGAAATGTCGTCTTCCTGGCAGTTTGTCTGTGACAAATTGGGGAACTGGGAAAATCCAATATTTTGCTTCATTAGTTTAACACTGGCAAGAAACGCTGATAAGATGGACTTTGTTTTAATCAAATTTATTTTTATCTTTAGTATCCAGAAATTCTAAAATAGTCTCAAAAAGTGCAAAAAAATCTTGTCAAACATAAGCCTTTCGACAGCCAGCGTACTTCAGGTGTGAAGGAGTAATTGATGAAAGTATTCAACGCGTTGCTTCGGATTCGGTTTACTGCATCAATGACTAATTGAAGAGATTCATACAATCTAACACTCAAATTTATATAATTTGTATAAGTATTTATATTATAAGATAGTATAATGTAAGTAAATAGGTACCATCAATGTATGTTGAGATCCACTATCGTGGACCCCCATTTTCTTTTTATGGACCCCCAAATTTGTTTTTCACTGCTTTACACTAACCTTGTATTTATAGATTAGAAAATCAAATGATTGTATAGAACCTATAAACTAAATGTAGCAGTTTGTAAAAGTGGAGATGACGGAAGAATAAACAGGATTCCGGGATTCAATTAAATCGGGACGATGTATTGCACCGCTGCCGCTGACATATACGAATGACCCAAGGGTTTATGAAGACGACACGTGCTGAAACTGAAATTTTACTATCGTTTTCTTCTTTTCTTAATGGCAAGGATCGGAAATGGGAAAAATAAAAGGAAGTTTAAAAGAGATACGGAAGCAATAAAAATTGAAACATAATATGCTTTTTTTTGAATTTATTTGAAATATTGACATTTCTCTGGTTTTTTCTTCTTTCACGTAAACATAATTCATGAATAGATGCGAATTGTTTTTTCAGTTTCAGGTATATTTATTTCGGGTTTACATAGAAATACAGTCATGTCACAAAACGTCTACTCGACATACAGATTATACACTAATAATAATAATAATAACGGAACTTTGCTGATGTTCGAATGTCGATCTTGCTCTTACTCCTCCAACCCTCATCAACCGAAATCCAGTTGTTCGCAATTGGAATTTTCCATTTATTCCACCCTCGGTTCTCTTCTCTTTCACTTCATTTTATTTTTATCGCATCCCCTCCGAATCGAATTTGCATGTTTTTTCCCTATCGTCTTCCTTCCTTTCCTCTTTCCTCTCCACTCTACACAGCAGCGATTCAAAGAAGAAGGAGGACTGTTTGGGAGGAGGAGGAGAACGAGGTGGTGTCTATATTGTATGCGGTGGCACGCAAAAGCGGGAATCAGGATTATATTACACGGTTTCCGGTAATGACTCCTCGGTGTTCGTATTCTTATCTAGCTGTCGCAGCCAGGAACGACGCCGACTCCGACGCCGCCGCCGCAGCCGCCGATCGTCTAATTCTGATTTTTCCCGTCGAATTAACTTTTAAGATTTATCGACACCCATCCCACGCGCGTTTTGAATCATTTCGCGGAGCGCCAATAACTGGGTTTTCCTCTCTTAATTGAAAACTCTCCGAGAGGAGAGAATTCGAAGAAGATTCGAAGAAAATAAAATAAATATAATGGATGGTAATTGAAAGGGAAAGAGGTGAAATGGAGAAGAAGGAAGACCTAATCTTTGTCCTCGATGAAGAAGCCCGACGTGGTGGAGCTTCCAATCTTGAGGATCTCTATTGTCTCCGTGCTCGCAGATACAGCATCCACTTGAGGTTCCTCCGCAGTGCCTGCAACGGAACGGATCTTATTAACTAGTTGAAAATCTTGGAATCGCTTACCGATCGCCTTGCAATGCTTCTCCGCATCGCTGAGCAGTTTCTTCCAGGTGGCAGTCGTCTTCACCGCGTCCAGCAGCTCCAACGGAATATCGTGATCTTTCGGTATATTCGTCATATCGTACTCCAAGCATTTATCGCATCGCGTTATCGGCTTGTTCTTGAAGTACATCACCATTTTCTCATCGACCTTCTTCACATCTCCCAGATACTTGCTCCAATTGGTTAACACCATTTTAATGCTCTCATTGTGTTTGGCAACCGTACCACGTTGCAGCGTGTAACGGAACTGCTGCAAGCAACTCGAGTACATGTTGATGTTCTTGCCAAACTCGTTCAACCAAGACGAGTACATGCTCCAGGACACGAAGCTCACTGTTCCTTCTGGATGAGGTTTAACTTCAACCTCCTTAGGAATCTCCTCTTCCAGCGGTATCTCCTCTTCCTCCTCGCCCATTTCCAGTTCCTCCTCGAAACCGGCGGCCACACCGAACTCTTCCTCCTCCTCCAACGAAACCGTCACTGAACCTTCACCTTCCAAATCTTCAATTGCAGCCTCAACCGTCTGATCCCATTCTGCTTCGAGAAGACCGACTTCACCTTCGTCCTCCTCGGCGGTCTCATCGACTTCGGTTTTATCATCGGCGATACCCATGCCGTCGCCGAAGTCGCCCACCTCTTCTTCGTCGCTCTCACCGCCTTCACCATCCTCTTCTCCACCGACATCTCCAATTTGCTCTTGCTTCGCTTCGCCAGCCTCATCCGCTCCTTCGCCGCCTTCGCCACCTTCACCAGCACCTTCAGTCTCAGCTGCACCATCTCCAGCCACACCCTTACCAGCGGTATCGACTTCACCTTCCGCTTCAAAACCTTCCAGAGCGGCAACTTCCTCCTCAATAAGTTTCGTCAATTCTAAATTAAAAAAAAAAAAACGTATTTTGAACAATTACACGTAAATCAATTGCACAAACCATCGACGTATTCTTCAAACTCTTCGCCTTCTCCTTCCTCCTCTTCTTCTTCTTCACCCTCACCTTCGCCTTCACCTTCGCTCTCACCCTCTTCTTCTTCCTCTTCTTCCTCAAACTCCTCTTCAGTAGCTGCAACCATCAAATGAAGCAAACCTTAACGCAATTATAAATATAATTAAACTTACATTCAAAATCAAATTCGAAATCTTTCATGGAGAAGATACAGTGCTTCTTATCCTCTTCAGCAATTGTCGTTTCCGACTTGATCGATTCCGCTTTCACCACTCTCTGTATTAATTAATATTTTGTTATAATTGAGAATCATAGAGAATCAAGAAAACGAATAGTCTACCTTGTATGGTTCGAATTTTGTGTCACAGATCACGGCCAATTTCTGGCAAATCTTATTCAATTCCGCTTTGGTCATCCGACTAAGATCCTTACGCTTCTTGAACTTGAGTTGTTTAACCAATTCGAGTGAGACGTGCAGTTGCTTATAATTCGGTGTGTAATTTATGTAGTTCTTCAAGAAACATATAATTAGCTTCGCCGTTTCGGTGCTCTGCTTCTCCAGCCATCTCCGTTTCTCCTCCTCCTTGCTCAACTTCTTGCATTTCTTGCGCTTCTTCTTTTTCTTCCTCGCAGGTATGAGCAGTCGCTTCATCGGAGGTTTAGGTTCGTGCAACTCGTGGATCAACTTGACCAATCTGACGACGCGCTCAGGATCCAGCGTCTTAGAGTACGCGGCCAACGTGTTCTCCACCAAGAGCAATTTTGGAGTCGCCAGTTCCGAGAACCTTTGGTTCACGAACTCCTCGATGTTTCTGTGCTTGCATTTTTTCAATTTACGCTTACGACATGGTTTCCTGAAAACAACAAAACGCATCAATCTTCAATTCAAATAAGAAAATAACAAACATCCGTTACGATTTAGTTTTCTTCTTTGTCTTCTTGTAACCGGCTAAGATATTGCTGTCACTATCACCGCGTGCTCCGACACAATCTAAATAATCATCAGTTACAAATTATTTCTGCAATCAAATAAATCTATAGTTACCATTGAAAAGGAGCACCATCGCTGCAATGCACTAAGAAATTTGGCTGTGGAATTTTTGGGATGCAAAAGGATTTCCGAAAAGGATCAAAAGAGAAAAAAAAAAAAGGATTATTATTTTTGCAGCGGATCTACTTCAGCTTGACGGCATCATCGCGACGGCAGATGACGCGATGCATGCTTGTTTTATCTCCGGTTTTCATAGCAACATTGATACAAAAATCTATCGGATGTTTTGATTATTAATAAATAGAATAATGATTAAAACAGATTTTTGTTTTTGTAACCCTAAACAAAAAATCTCATTAATTATTAGTTTCTTTGTTTAAGCAATGCTGGAACAATGTTTGCGCTCTAAATGCTCGCTCGAATTAGGAGCGCGCATGTATATTTTAGGTTAGATAGTTTCGGTGTATTTGCATAAATAAATAGACGCAACTGAAATGGAATACATTCGGCAACACAAGGTTAATTGAACGCAAACTTAGAGCAATCGTCAAAGAAACCCGCATTTACGGTATTTCGACTTCAAAAGTCAACTCCGGATGACTTCTTTCGTGAATTCTGTGTTTGCACGATGAAATCAATATAGCATTTGAAAATTTGAACGCAAACATGTTTTTTTTCTGCTTTATAATAAGCAAAAACTAAATTATTCGGAATTATACCAAATGTTAGTTTACTTATTTGTTTTTTTTTCCAGAAACAGAAGAAAACCAATCAATAATATTTAACTCCTTGTACATACGTTTTTTGATCCAATTAATCTGTAAGCCTCGGCCATTTTTCATACCAAAATTGACACATTGATTGCTTTCTTGCATCGAATCATTGATTAGAAATAATGAGAAAGTAAATGGCAGATGAAATTCGCGATGAGAAAAAATAATAATAACGCATAGTTGTAATAATGATTAAGCTGCTCACGGTGCGAAAGGGGGAAGCGATGATAAACGATTGCCTGTATAATTTATTATGGAGAGATCAAACGCGCCCCCGACAACAAAGCAACTTATTGAGAAATTATGCAGAGCCGTTTAGGGCTTCCATCAACAACGCCTAATTCAATTCGCCCGCAATTTGAATCCTTTCCGAAACAACTTTATATTTTATTCATTATTGCGAGCATTTCATCTGCGTGAAGATTAGCGTAGAAAGCAATTAAATATCAAAAGAGACAGACGAAAAAGAAAACGTAATCAACTTGATTACGTTTTCAATAATTGATTTAATTTTTGATGCTGGTAACAGATGGCAGCAATTTGTCACCAGTGCGTGTTTAATTAAATAATAAAAAAAAAAAACAAATACGTCTTCGCAATAATGTAGGACGACCCAATTATTATGATTTATCATCGTCCGCTTATTATTAATTTTTTTTTATTAGTAAATAGAATCAGCCGATGTCTGGACAAAATCATCAGATTGCGCCCGATCATTGCTGTAGCGACGATGCTCTTAGGTCAACGTGATAAATGCTGATAACAACAGTTTAAAGCATTTAAAAGTGAAACGAGGAAAGTTATTTTGTGTCCGGAACCAAAAATGTGTGACTACATAATCGGTAAATGCAATTAATTAATTAATCGATTATTTTCTTAATAATGTTGGATTGTTTTATTGCAGCTGATGATGTGTTGCTGAAGAAGCAAAGGGATGTATTGAGGTTGCTAAAACACGTCCATCAACCATCGTATTTTAAGGAGTTGGAGGTGATCGCCAAGGATTTCGATTTCACCGATCTGAACCAGTGGACGAAGCCGGAGTATCCGGAAAAGTTTTGGAATTATTACCAAGAAGGTTTGATCCAGCAGGATGAAGTTTTCTCCGTGTACAATCCGACGCAGGTGAAGTATGCCGAAGCTCTGTTCAAGGTGTTCTTCTACGCGAGGACTTACCACGTGTTCTACAAAGCAGCGGCCTGGGCTCGACAGAAAGTCAATCCCGGAATGTTCGTGTACTGTCTCAGCGTTGCCATCGTTCACGGAAAGCACACCGTCGGCGTAGTTCTTCCTCCGGTTTATGAAACCGTTCCTCATTACTTCTTCCCCGACAGAGTGATCAGAAATGCTCAGCAACTTAAGCAGCGTTTCCATGGGGATGAGAAACAGGTTAAGAGCCACGTGATCGACGCTATGTATTCCGATTCGTGCATGAGTTATTTAACGGAAGACGTCGGATTCAACTCGTATTATTATTACAAGAACGTTTACATGCCCTATTGGTTGGAGGAGGAATGCATGAGCTACGATGGAACGAACAGAGGTGAGTGGTTCCAATACTACCACAATCAAATATTGGCGCGCTACTATTTGGAGCGTTTGGCCAATGGCAAAGGAAGGATTCCTCATTTGGACTACAGAGAACCAATCAAATCCGCCTTCAATCCATCGTTGACCTATCCGAACGGACAGCCATTCCCCAATCGGCAGACCGAAATCAAACTGCACTTGGCGGATGAGCAAACCAAAGATTTCGCTTATTGCTACAGCAAAGTCGAAGATTACGAAAGGCGACTTCGCGATGCCGTAGATCAAGGCTTCGTGCTCACTCCGAAAGCCAGGTTAGTCAATTTGTTCGACGATAAAGGCTTCGAAACGCTGGGGCGATTAGTGGAATGCGATCCGGAATCTCCGCACAATCAATACTACGGAAACGTGCAGATATTCGCTCGTCACCTCCTCGGACAATCCAAAGAATTCTTACCACCATCCGCGTTGGGACATTTCGAAACGTCGCTTCGCGATCCAATGTTCTACCAAATCTACAAGAAACTAATGCGCAACTTCCACGAACGCATGAACAAATTACCTTCATATAAACCAGAAGAACTTCTTTTTGATGGTGTTAAAATCGAAGACGTAGAAACGGATCGTTTGGAAACGTTTTTCGACTATCATTATGCAGATTTAGCGAACGCAGTTACAGTCAACCAGACGGAATTCGTTGAAGACACTTTTCAGGTCCAAGCTAAGCAAATGCGTTTCAATCATAGACCGTTCAATTACAGAATTGTGGTGAAGAGCGAAATCGCCGAAGAGGCTTTAGTGAAAGTGTTCCTTGGACCGAAATTCGATGAGCTCGGAAAGGAAATTAACATCAAGGAGAATTACATGAACTTCTTCGAACTCGATCGATTCAAGTGCAGTTTAAGCGAAGGTTCGAATACCATCGAACGAAGATCTGATGAAATCATGTACTTCAGTCAAGATCGCACCACTGTTAAGACCTTCACCAAACAAATTGAAGACGCTTTAGGAGGAAAGGAATCGTACAAATCGTACCCTTACTACAAGTTCTACACGTTCCCTCAGAGACTTATGTTGCCCAAAGGAGAATCTTCAGGAAAACCGTTCAAACTCTTAGTGGTTTTAACCAAATATCACGCACCTGAAGACGATAGTTTCGCCGATTTCCTGGTAGACACTCAATACAGTATGAACTATCCGTTCGATAGACCCATCAACGTTGAAAGCCACTTCTGGGTTCCTAACTTCCACACCAAAGACGTTCTCATTTACCACAGCAAATAATGTACTCCATTTAATAAAACAATGTATTGTTAATAATAAATATATTACGTAATAAATAGTTTCATGTTTTTATATTTAATCATTAACTTTCATGAAAAATATTGACCTCTTTACTGAAGAAATTCGGCACCCAAAAATCTTCTTTATACAAAATCGGCCTATCCAGAGGGAAGCCAATGCTATAAGTTTTATCCACGACCTGAAATTCGAAATCGTCGGTAGGCAACGATCGTTGCTGAAGGATAGCAACAAACACTTGAAACTGTTGCCCGGAAACGTCTCCTTTCGGAAGCATCAGTCGCCTTGGAAACGTGTAATAATTGTAGTAAGGAAAGCGTTTGAAAGGTTCCTTCCCACTTAAGGCATCATCAATCTTGTTGCAAAATTCGGAGTATCCAAACCGGTCAGGGCTGAAAAAAACGATGTCATCCGAGTTACGCTCGATCACATTGTCGCCCTCATTCAATCTAATTGTGAATCTGTCGAGCTCAAAGAAATTCAAGCGATTGTCATCCATCGAAGCAAAATCGGCTAGCTTAGGTCCAATATAGAATTTAACAACTGCATCAACGCTTGTATTGCTTTTAACGTGGATTTTGTATGTGAAAGGTTTATGGTTGAGTCTCTTCTGTTGCACCAAACCGTTAGAAGAATCGTATGTGAATAAATCGAAGAAAGTTACGAGTTTATCAATAATAAAATCATTGATTTTCACTCCATCGAAGAGCAAATCCAATTTGGAGTAAGGCCCCATTCGATATTGGTACCTTACGAACAAATCTAAAATGTTCTTTATGAAGTTATAAAATAACGGATCACTCATAGAAGTTTCGTAGTGTTTCAAAGAATGATTTCCCAATAAATAACGCGCGTAGTATTGGAAATTCCCATAGTATTCCTGATTCGGTGAATCAGGATCATCTTCTATAATCTTTCCAAGCGTTCTTAAGCTATCCACGTCACGCAAAGACTTCTTGTTTCCATTTTTATCATAAGCCCAACCAATATCAATAGCTTCGCAAATCCTCCGTTCCAACTCAATAATTTTTGGTAAAAAATCCTTCGAAACATTCCTCCCAGAAAAATCATTATAATTAATTTTCTTCGCTTCTGCTCTTCCGTTAGATAACAGCTCCAAATGATGACGAGCCATGATTTGGGTATGGTAATAATAGAAGTAATCTCCACGACGATCTGCGTCTACATACATAACGTTGTTCTCCAAGATCCTTGCTACGTACACATGTTTGTAATGGTAATAGCTATTATAACCGACGTCTTCAGTTAAATAATCAATATTGTTTTTAACATTTGAGTTCGCAACCGTCTTCGATTCATTATAAAAATGTTGCGGGAGAATTTCGTAAATCGGTGGCAGAATAATACCTTTTGTGAATGTTGTATGAACGAGTGCAACAGACAGCACGTAAACAAACATGCAAGCGTTTATATTCTGTCTGGACCAAGCGGCACATCTGAAGAAAGTTGCGTAATCCTTGGCGTAAATGAAGATGGAAATCAAAGATCGGCATTGTCTCGAGTGCTCCGGATAATAAACGTTGAAAGTATCATTGATTTTCAGAAAATTGTTATTGAAGCATTTCCAGAAATGCTTGATTTCCTCCGGCTCCGTCCACTGATCCCACCGATCTTCGAACTTAAAGTTTTCTGCGATTTCGATGATATCTTCGTAAGCTGACGGTTGCATCACATTCTTGAATAGTCTCAGCACATCTTTCTGTTTCTTTAGAAACACTTGATCGGCTGCAAAGAATTATTTTACTTCGTGGATTCCAAAATTTATTTGAACTCACCTATTTTGTATTTACTTGACATGTTGAGAATTATATTACGATGAAGGAAACCAACTGATTTTAGCAAAATATACACTTGTTTGCCATTTATATATGAAATCAGTCTCTCAAATCTAAATATTCATGTATTGAAATGTGCACTTATTTTACATAGGCAATTGTAATGTATACATATAATTAAAGAATGAATTAAATTAAAGTTGAGGAAAATATTAATGCATAAAACATATTGCTCGCTAAATTTCATACACTCGTTTAGATTTTGTTTCGCAATTGCGTTGTTTTTGTTTATTAATTTACTTTTAGTAATTAAGATCTTGTCTCATAAACATATAGATAATTTGAACGCTACGTGTATCACAATATGCATTTTTTTTTGTATGCGTTGATAACAATTGTGCAGATTGCATAATACCAGGTCAATGATTACTCCTTCTTTGAGTATAAAAGAGATGATTTTCAGGATGTTAAGCATATTCAGTGCGAATCCTGAACGATCAACATGTCTGGTGTACAATACAAAGTTGGTAAGTTTATTATTTAAATTTTAAATTTTCTTCCATAATTTATATTGAAATGTTTTCTTTGTAAAGCTGACAAAGTCTTCCTCGAGAAGCAAAAGGACATTCTCCGTCTTTTCCAACATGTGCATCAGCCAACCTACTTCAAGGATTTGATCGAGGTTGCCAAGACCTTCAAGTTCGAAGGACACTGGGATCAATGGACTAAGCCTGAATATGTCAAGGAGTTCTGGCAATTCTACCAAGAACAGGATTTCTTGAAGCAAGATGAAATCTTCTCTGTTTTCCATCCAGAGCACTTGAAGCAAGCTATCGCTCTCTTCAAGGTGTTCTACTACGCCAAGGATTTCGCTACTTTCTACAAGAGCGCCGTTTGGGCTCGTCAGCACGTCAACCCAGGCATGTTCGTGTATGCTCTTTCCGTTGCTGTCTTCCACTGCAAGCACACCGAGGGAATCATTTTGCCACCAATCTACGAAATCTTCCCTCATTATTTCTTCACCAGCGAAGTCATCACCAAGGCTAAGCAATACAAGCAACACTACTGGGGTACCTACGAACACGAAGTAGAGCACAAGGAAAAGTCTGGCTACGCTATTAACGCCGACTACACCAAGCACACCGAAGAATGGATGAGCTACTTCACCGAAGACATTGGCATGAACGCTTTCTACTACTACAAGAACATCTTCATGCCTTTCTGGTTGGACCACGATTGCATTAGGTTCGATGCCACCAAACGTGGTGAATGGTTCCACTATTACCATAACCAAATCTTGGCTCGTTACTATTTGGAGCGTCTCTCCAATGGTAAAGGTAAAATCCCAACCATCAACTACGAGGAACCAACCCAATTTGAGTACTACCCAGCTCTTTCTTACTTCAATGGAAAACCATTCCCAGCCAGGCCAAAGAACGCTAAGCTCAATCTCGATGTAGAAGAAACCGACTGTTCCTTGAAACACTTCTCCTACTGCTACACCCAAGTAGAAGACTACGAAAGGCGTATTCGTGAAGCCATCGATATGGGATGGGTTTACACTCCAGAAGGCAAGATCATCTACTTGTACACTCAAGAAGGTTTCGAGACTCTTGGAAAGATTGTTGAAAGCGATCCAGAATCTCCTCATGTCCGTTTCTACGGTTACTTGCAAATGGTAACTCGCCATCTTCTGGGCTACTCCCATCACGCTCTCGCTCCATCCGTCTTGGAACACTTCGAAACTTCCATGCGCGACCCAATGTTCTACCAATTCTGCAAGAGGATGATGTACTTCTTCAAGAAACATCAACACCATATGGGACCATACGAGAAGCAACATCTCTTCATGCACGGCGTCAAGGTCGAAGACTTCCAAGTTGACAAACTGGTGACCTTCTTCGATCAATACTTCACCGACATCAGCAACGCTGTTACCGTCGACGAGAAAGAATTCCAACAGAAATCTTTCGAAGTTTACGCCCGTCAATTCCGTCTGAACCACAAACCATACAACTACAAGATCCAAGTTTCCAGCGACAAGTCTGTAGATGCTTTGGTCAAGGTCTTCATTGGACCCAAATACGACGAATTCGGTCACGAAGTCGAGATGAAGCACAACTACATGAACTTCTTTGAATTGGACAGGTTCAAGTATACTCTGAAATCCGGAAAGAACGTCATCGAGCGCAACTCGCACGAGAACAAATTCTTCAACCAAGAGCATTTCACTTTCAAGACTTTGTACAACCAAGTTGAAAAAGCTTTGACCGGAGGAGAAACCTTCAAATACCAATTGCCACAGGAATACTACACCTTCCCACAAAGGCTTATGCTTCCAAGGGGTGATGTTTCCGGAAAAACTTACCAATTCTTCGTTGTCGTCTCGCATTACGAACAACCAAAATCTGATGCTTTCTGCCATTTCTTAGTCGACACTCACTACTCCATGAGCTACCCATTGGACAGACCAATCGAATTCGAACACGAATTCTGGGTTCCTAACTTCTTCTGCAAGGATGTTAAGGTCTACCACGAAGAGCTCGTCAACGAGAAAGAATTTACCTACAAAAAATTCTAATTGATTTCTAAACTGCAATGAATATGACAATAAAGCATTTATTACCTTAATATATTGTTTTTTGTAAATTTGATTCACCTACAAAGAAGCAAACCTTCCTTAAATATATTAAATTATAATTAACCATTCTTTATTCACAAATGCATATTGATTTAAATCATTCTTCCCAAATGAGATAATTAACATTTAACTTTTGAATATAATTGAAAATACAGTGGAACCTCGCATAATGACCATTTCCCAAATTTCCGTTTTTACTCGTATAGTGATAGAATTTTCCCCATATAAAGTAATGTAATATACGATAATGCGTTCCACTTTGCGAGTCATTTTTTTTCCTAATTATTTGGCTCGTTAAACAAGGTTCCACTGTATTTAGTATTATTATAGCATTTTGTAATATTCTTATTTTTTGCTATTAAATATTTCAGTTTGAAATTCATGTTACATTGACGTAAATTAACGTGTATCACAAATATTCTTAGAAATTATTTATTTTTCAGAGATGTTCCAAAATATATTTCTTTTGGAAATATAACATAAGCAACGGAATATTTTATAATAGAGCTACTGCCTCAGTAACCTGTACTTTTACTAATCATTACTGTAAAAGTATAGATAAAGTAGAAAAATAAATCTTTGTAATTACAGCTTTTCTAGAAATAAACGTAAATAAACAAAAAAAAAACATTTGTAGTTCTTTTCCTCACATCCTATAAAACTAAGTCTTTTCTCAGATGATTTAATAAAACAATTTTATGAAGATATTGCATTAATTTCCAAGTATTTTATACAATACATTATAATAAATGTTGTCTATATAAAATGATAACATTTTCTAAAAATAACTTAGAATTTTTTTGTAAGTATATACATATATTTTATATTTACTATTAAATTTATAATATTCCTATTCTTTGTTGTTCAACAATAAAAATTGCATAAACAAAAAATTGTCACGTTCTTTAACACAAGAACGAAACGTCAAGAATGCTAAAATAGTTCATATGTAAAAAATTAAAGCCTTCAAAATATTCTGTTCATTTCTATAATAAATATTGTTACTTTAATTGCAGAAACTTATTTACATTTAATTTAATTTGCCATTATCATGACAGTTTCACAAATAAAAAACTTGATAATTAGAAGCCTACGTGATTCACCAATTTAATTATTTGATAACAATTTTCGAGATAATATAGAGGATAATGGAAAAAATAAAGAATAACAAATAGGTGAATGATAGTATAATAATAGGTCAATGATTATGTTCTCTCATTTTAGTATATAAACCAGGATTCTTAGAATGTTAAGCATATTCAGTGCGAATCCTGAACGATCAACATGTCTGGTGTACAATACAAAGTTGGTAAGTTTATTATTTAATTCTTAAATTTTCATCCATAATTTATATTGAAATGTTTTCTTTGTAAAGCTGACAAAGTCTTCCTCGAGAAGCAAAAGGACATTCTCCGTCTTTTCCAACATGTGCATCAGCCAACCTACTTCAAGGATTTGATCGAGGTTGCCAAGACCTTCAAGTTCGAAGGACACTGGGATCAATGGACTAAGCCTGAATATGTCAAGGAGTTCTGGCAATTCTACCAAGAGGAGGATTTCTTGAAGCAAGATGAAATCTTCTCTGTTTTCCACCCAGATCACTTGAAGCAAGCTATCGCTCTCTTCAAGGTGTTCTACTACGCCAAGGATTTCGCTACTTTCTACAAGAGCGCCGTTTGGGCTCGTCAGCACGTCAACCCCGGCATGTTCGTATATGCTCTTTCCGTTGCTGTCTTCCACTGCAAGCACACTGAGGGAATCATTTTGCCACCAATCTACGAAATCTTCCCACACTACTTCTTCACCAGCGAAGTCATAACCAAGGCTAAGCAATACAAGCAACACTACTGGGGTACCTACAAACACGAAGTAGAACTCAAGGAAAAGTCTGGCTACGCTATTAACGCCGACTACACCAAGCACACCGAAGAATGGATGAGCTACTTCACCGAAGACATTGGCATGAACGCTTTCTACTACTACAAGAACATCTTCATGCCTTTCTGGTTGGATCACGAATGCATTAGATTCGATGCCACCAAACGCGGTGAATGGTTCCACTATTACCATAACCAAATCTTGGCTCGTTACTACTTGGAGCGTCTCTCCAATGGTAAGGGTAAAATCCCAACCATCAACTACGAGGAACCAACCCAATTTGAGTACTACCCAGCTCTTTCTTACTTCAATGGAAAACCATTCCCAGCCAGGCCAAAGAACGCTAAGCTCAATCTCGATGTAGAAGAAACCGACTCTTCCTTGAAACACTTCTCCTACTGCTACACCAAAGTAGAAGATTACGAAAGACGTATTCGTGAAGCCATCGATATGGGATGGGTTTACACTCCAGAAGGCAAGATCATCTACTTGTACACTCAAGAAGGTTTCGAGACTCTTGGAAAGATTGTTGAAAGC